ATATATATATATATATATCATATATCAAGTTCAAGTTACATTTCAAAATATCATCATTATAGCTTTGCAGCTAAATTACGAATGGTACATTATTAAAAAAATAGACCTGGGTCTATTTGCAATGCACAAAGTTTAAGAAACAACAATACAAATACAAATTCAAATTTTCCTGGTAAAATTATACAACAGCAAAAATACATTGATATAAAAATTAAACTATGATTTATAATGAACTGATTAATCTGAGCTTAATAAGTTAATATTGAGGTTCAAATATATAATTCAAGTCTAAGTACAAGTTGCTGGTTGAAGATAATAATGAGGTATGGAATTGGGCTTTGCTATTGCTGTATCTATTATTTTTTTAAAGTACAGGTAGGTGGTTTGAATTGATTTTTCTTTCTCAAACTATATCAGTGGTCTATTTGAGGAGGTATAAAGAAACTAAAATTTGGTGATTTGCATAATTGGTGAGTAAATTTGTTTTTTCTACACTCCAGCATTTCTATGTTACACAATATTAGAGGACTATTGTAGTTATTGTACGACTTGTCAAGTATGATTCTGAGTGCTCACTTCTTTGTATGTATATGAGGACCATTCAGAGAAAAAACGTTCCAGACCTATATTAGATTAGCAACAACTACACAGTCCGACAAATAACATTTTTGCCAAGTTTAATTCGCAATTTAGGTTTGTCCAATGCTGTAGTTTAAGTACTCTATATAGAAATTGCAACAAAATGACTTGGGTGACATTAATATTTAAGCTGAATGTGTACGTCTAAATAAACAGTGATTGCCTTAGTCAGCGCTGAATATGGTCTTTCAAAACTCTTCATATTTACTCTGAATGGACATGTAATCAACCCAACCTTATGTCTCGTGAATCTATGATTCATTCAAAACGTATACGTTGTTATAAACAGTATCTTCTATGCTAATTTCATTACATTTTAGACGTTAATATACGCCACTTTCGACTCTGCTTAATGCATTAACATAGCTCTTTTGCCTTTGTGTCCAAATGTAACCCCCTTGGCGCAAATGTGATGACGTCATCTTTGGTGTTGTAGTTAGATTGCTCTAGTGGGATATTGCATAACAGTACATAGGACTTATGATGTATCTGGACAGAATGCGTTTATATTTTATGTTTACTTACCAAGGAAAACTCATTTCATGTATTTTTGTATATGATTAAATAAACAGAGCCTTGAAACTTAAACCCTTGTTTGTTTGAAATAAATGTACTCACCTACTGGTGCCAAACATTTCCGAAACAGTTTAAGGATCAGCTGAACACGCGTAATATGGACATTTATTGCTTTATATCAAACAAATATTTTTATGGTCGGGCCTCCTCTTGCTGTGTATGAACATTCGTGTAGTGTTTGACACTGACTCTTGGATACGCCTAGTTCTTTTGTTAAACTTAAAGCCCATTCTATAACGATCTCAAACAACAGTAAAATTACTGTTCAGTGGAAGACGCCCAAAACTAGAAATTTAAAGGGTGTCCCGAAAGCTCAGACCCGAAAGCTAAGATCTAGGACCACGAGATATCAGACCCACTCGAAACATCAGACCCCGCAAATTAAGACCCTCAACTAAGTATGCCAGGATTTCCTGATTTCAGTGGTCTGAGCTTTCGAGACACCCAAATTTAAAGTATAGAACATACGAATGTTTTATGTGGACTCGCACACTTCTGCTATACAGTATCAATTTCCGACTCAAACGTATTACACAACCGGGCTCCACTACAAACTAAAGGTTAAATAATCCGAAATAATGAAGAAAGTGTTAAATTCGCAAACATTTACTACGAATCAAATTAAAGGTACGCTATTGTATCTACATTTGTAAAATCCAATGTCTGTTAGTCTGTTACACGTCAAAATACACTACTGTATAAGTTTAACAATCTGTACAATAATTAAACAGACGTCAAAAACAACACCAAACACATTGTAGGTAAAAGAAAGTGTTTAAATATATATTGTACTTACTCTTAATCTGACAGAAGAACGTATAAATATTACATAGGCCTAATCATGTAGTATAAAAAATACTGTATCTGTATTTTAAAGCATAATAATAATAATAGGCTTATTAATAATGATACTATAATATTAAATAATAATTATTATTATTGCTTAATGATAGTACGTAGTCCGATATTGAGACAGAAATCTCTGTTTTTGCACTAATCTACAGTTATATGGACCCATATAAAATGTGTACATTATGATATTTTTATTATATGTGGAAGAGCGAGTAAAGGCGTTCACCTCTTTCTCGGCGCGTACTAATTAACATCGTGAAGTGATATTGCTTGCTTGGGTATATATATAATTGTTTTCAGGTGGTTGCTGGCTGTTGAACACTTGGAATGTTACTGTGTTGGTCGGTTCATGGAGGAACTAATTCCTCCTTGTTCGGTTTGGCAACGTAGTAAACTTGCTTAAATAGGTTTTCAGGTATGTTTAATGAATCATTGTATTGCTATTGAATTTTACTAGGTTTTATTGGTATATTGTCGTTGTTTGTGATGACATGGCGGTTGATTTTAGGTACGGTACGCATGCCACACATGGGCGGCCGAATACATTAATAATAATAATAAAAAAATTACACATTTCTTCTCCTTTTACATCAGGGATAACTGATATTACAAATTTAAGTGCCATTTCTAGCCATCTAGACGTGCAGAAATTATATATTTTTTTCTTACCTGAGCCCATATTATAGTGGGCTAAAGTGCTAGAGACTTTTCCCTGAAAGTCCTTTTTTAATAAGGTTTGTCTATCAAAAGTTACCGTGTCAGTTTTCAAATAGGATTTGGCGTTCAATTAATTGCTGTCATATTTCTGTTATACATGATTATACTACAGAGAAGAAAGCCGAAGAACATATGTACAAGTCAAATTGTATTAAAGAATTATGAGGGCTCCTTCCGACCCTATATAACGAGTTAAATGCTTTATTTTATGTAAGCTTTTTCTATGATCGAACACGAGGACATCCATTCGCTAATATATCCTTTTCCTGCACTGCTGAGAACATCTTAAAAAAAAACCCGTTAAAAATGGATGCTTATCTGCCAAGACTAACATAAAGAATGAAGCGCTGGTGTTTCAATTACTCAACGGTGTGGGGCTTACACTGTTAAACTGCGTCGTGAATGGGTATTTGAGGTCCTGCAGGATAATACATTGATTTGCTTTACTTTGATCTATAATTAAGTAAAGTCATCACGAAATTTGCAAATATAAATGCAATTACATATTTTGTTCAGTGTCTTATATATCATTTATTTAAAAAATTCGACAAACAAACATGGAATTTGTTGATGAATTCAGTTAAGGTATAGC